CCCCGGTCCGGTACGGGGGCAACACTGAGGGTTGCGATCCGTTGCCGGACACGGAAAAAAGACAAAAGACAAAAAAAAAGAAAAAAAAAAAAATGATGTATGAAATCATAAATTTTAATATTTGGAACTTACTAAAATGTCCCTTCTGTAAAACGAAGATAATCGTAGCATTTTCCTCTTAGTATTGTTCTGTGGACCACATGTCAAGTGTCTGAAGATTACATGGCAACAGCTCAGGTCTGTCTGTAATCAAAACACGTCAGCTAATGGGACTCGCCAGTACCATCATGGCAGTGTAAAATACTCAAATATTTCTATAACAGTTGTGCTATGATCTGAATGTTTTTGTCCCCCAAACATTCATACGTTGAAATCTAATCCCCAGTGCAATAGTATTAAGAGGTGGGGCCTTTAGGAGTTGATTAGTTCATGAGGGCAGAGCCCTCATGAATGGGATTAGTGCCCTTATGAAAGAGGACAGGGCTGGCTGGTTACTCAGCTGGTTATAAAGAGTTGTTATAACACCAAGGTCAAGGGATTCGGATCTCCATGCTGGCCAGCTGGGAAAAAAAAAAAAAAAGAGGATAGAGGAGCTTGTTTGCTCCTTCTGCCATGTAAAGACACATAGAAGGCACCATCTATGAGTAAGGTTCCCTTACCAAACACAGAATCTGGTGCCTTGATCTTGGACTTCCCTGCCTCCAGAATAGTGACCAATAAATTTCTGTTGTTTATAAATTACCCAGTCTATGATAATTTGTTATAGCAGCCCAAACAGACTAAGACAAGCTGGTAAATAGCTGTTGCTCCAATTCCCCAAGATCATCCCACCATGGATCTAGTAATCCTTTCCTCCCACACACATACCATCTCATGATCTAACCACTAAAGAGCTCATTCCTGACACACTAGAAGGCTTTCAGAACCTTTCCCAATTGTTAGTACTTCCACAATTGGATTGTTAAATATTTTGAATATTATTCCTGATTATTTGTACTACCTATTGAACCTGGGTCAGCCAGCCAGAAGTCAAGGAGATGTACATAAATATAGATTATGGCAGAACCATGAATAGAGCTAGTCAGGTCAGACACTATGGACCTCCTAGGTAGAAACATAAGCCTGAAGAGTCATTTGTAGTTTCAGAGTCTGAGGTAGTATCTGGAAAGTCCCCAAGACCTATCATCCAAGATCATACCTGTCATACCAATAACAAGAAAGATGATTATCTAGGTCATAGTGTCTTTAACATCTATCTAAAGGTTTTTGTTATCTTTTGGGGCCTACATGCTCAACATCTGTCCCCATTTCTCTCCCTACCATACCACATATGCAGCCCTCAACGGCTCTAGTATTGCCAGAATTCTTATCTGTTCATACTGAATAGCGAAGGCCCACTAACCCAGAAAGAAAAGATAATATAGATGTTCTGGCCACCCACATTTTTCTCTTTGTCACTGCTAATACCTACCAAGGGGTGGTACAGAATCAAATGAAGTCCTACAAACCCTTTGATAATAACAACAATTGAGATTTTTTTTTTTTTTTTTTTTTTTTTTTTTTTTT